TTTGGAGCATCTCTGATAGCCCTACCTTGGGATCCAGAAGGCTGGAAGTCATGCTGGGGGTTTGTCTGCCTTGGGCCCTGTGGCCTCCTCTCTGGGTAACCGGCTCCACAGGTAGCAGTTTGTGGGTGTTGATGATGATCTTGCCGCCAGCATCCTAACTGCATGAGGTACCTCAAGGGAAACCTGTGAGCCAGTCAGCTTCCTCCTGCGGCCCAGAACACTCCCGGGCCTCATACGGAGAAGCCACACAATAAATTTGCCCTCACTGAGTGAGGGTATGGATGGGAGGCATCCTGGGAGTAGGACCTTGCACAGAGCAAGGGTGGGTGTTCACTCGCAGCTAACCCCTAGCTGACTCCAACTGCAGGGTGTGAGGAACCTGTTTAGGCTCACGTTATCACTCTCTTTTCCTCCTTCCCTCCCTCCCTCCCTTTCTCTCTCTCTCTCTCTCTCTCTCTCTCTCTCACACACACACACATACACACACACACACACACACACACACGCACGCACACACACACCCTATATATAGACTTTGTTCCTCAAAAGATCACCACCCAGAAAGCGAGTAAGTGGGGAAGGGACACATGAAAGTTAAGGACCAACATGTTCCAAGGAGGGAAAGGACTTCTGGGATAGTTTGGAAAGCATTTTGGTAGTCTAATTTCATCTTCATAACAATTAAGAGAGATGGGCAGAAATTGTCTCTATTTTACAGATGAAAAAAACTGAGGCCCAGAGAGGGCAGTAACTTGCCTAAGATGACACACCACAAGAACCCAGGCTTTCAGGCTCAAATGCTGTGTTCTCTTTTCACCCCCCTCTGGTTACTGCCAAGGATAGGGGAGCTGTCCGTGAAAATGTTGGAATGGGACCCCAGGACCAGAATGAACAGAGATTTGAATGTGGGGAAACTTAGAAGGCTCCTGGATGGACCTGAATGTTGAAGACGTTATCTAAAGTTAGGGAGATCACTCTGGCACAGAGGCACTGCCCTCTGCATCTTCCTGGGCAGGCCCGATAGAAGGGAGGCCCAAGGGGAGGCTGGGGCAACAACCAGCTGGGCTTGGAATGTGAAATCATGACCTGATGCAGGGAAGGAAGACCCAGAGGACCAGGTGAGGCAAGAAAGGGGAGGAGGAAACTTCACCAGGAAGGAAGCCGGAATTAGGAAGAGGAAAGCTGTCAGGACAGAGTGGAAATGGAAGGTGGAGAGTTCTGCTTGTGTGTGTGTGTGTGTGTGTGTGTGTGTGTGTGTGTGTGTGTGTGTGTGTGTGTGGGTGAATCTGTGGGTGAAGTTGCAGGCAACTGTCCAGCAGGCAGCCAGAGCTTGGGTTGGGAGGACACCTGCTTAGAGGAGATAGCTGGAATTAGAGATGATTAGTACTTTGCGTACGAGAAGGAAAAGGGCTGGCCCTGAGTTACTAAGGAGAGTGTAGGAGAGAATGTATGTCCCGCTTAGCATCACAGGGAATGTGTGGTACATCTTAGAATAGGATTCATCAAAAGCAGTCACAATAAAAACTTTGGGTACTTAAGCATGGCTTAGTTTTATTTCACTGAATTGGAGTATAGCACCCTCTATCATGATAAGCAGAGTCTTATAGGCTCCAAAATAAAATAAGAATCCCTAAACTTAAAGAAATAAAATTAAAAGATCAAGTAACACTTCAAAGGCATAAATGAGTTTCACTGGTAAATCCTAACACTGGGGAATGTCTCCTAAGCAAAAAATTATCAATATGTGCAAAGATTTAGTTAATAGCGTTGTTTGTATAATGGGAAAAAAATGGAAATAACCTAACTGTCCTACAATAGGGGATGAGCTGGGTAAATTTTTATTTATCCTTAGGAAAGAATAACATACATCCATTGCAAATGATATTGCAGAAGTACATTTCATGACATGAAAAGATGCTCATTATGTACACATATACACATACACAGGATTATCTTTGAATTAAAATAAAGTTTGCTTTTGAAAGCACTTTTTTGAAGTCTCCTGTAGCCTTCACAGGGTCTGATAAAGGCCACAAGGGATGCAAACTTCCTTTCCTTAATTCACTCTGAATTTTCCAGTGGTTGTGTCAGGTTCTCAGGAACAGGACAAGCAGCCACTTGCTGCACCAAGAACAGATTTCAGGGCTCAGGAGTTGCTTGTTTTCTGCTCTTGCTCAGAAGGTCTTGTTCTCTGTAGTAGGTTCTCACTCCCATTTGTCATGTAAAGCTCCTCAATGCCCATCTTTCCATTCCAGGATCTCAGTGCCTTCCATTTTGCTTAACACCCAGCTAGGTTCCTTCCTCAGTTTCTCCTGTCTCCTCACCTCTCTTAGCTCCTGACCCACCACTATCTAGGAGACAGTTCTGCCATTCCTGCTGATATCCTGGGAACCAGGTTTGGCATTAGTCACACCTCTCAGATCCTGGTGCACCAGAATTGGATTAACCCATGCATCTCCTCTGTGGGAGGGAGGCAATAGAGTGACTGACAGGTGGAACACTGCATTGATATGTCTATTTATAGCCTGCATAACCTGGGTGCTGCCCTGGAGGAAGAGCTGGGGTGAAGGAAATGACATGCCTGGGAGAGTGATTTACCTCTGAGTCAGCAGCTTCGGGGAGATGAAGGAACCAGCCTGCTGGACCAGAGTTCTGGATAGAACTACAAGTGGCATGAGGACTAGTGAGCACAAGAATTGTTGTTGCCCTTACCAAGGGGCCTGGGACCCGGGCTCCCCAACTCTTTGGCTAGACCCATGGCCTTGGCCAGTCCTAAGCAATTCCTTCATGCTGTCCAGAACCTCTCTGGGCCAAGCCCTGGGGACACGGAGACAACGCCAAGCTCCCATTGAGGAGCTCCCATGCAAGGGTCACAGGGAGGCCGCGGATGTGGCCTGAGGCAGCAGCGCTAGGAGGGACTAGAGCTACCCCCCCCCCCCCCGCAGTCCTGGCTTCCCCCGAACCTCTTCTCTTCCCTTTCCCGAAGGCCAGTCAGGGACAGTCCCGGGGATGCAGCCTTGAAGAGCGGTAGGATCCCTACTAGACCCCGGGGCGGGAACCTTGACAACCACTCAGCGTCTGCTGCCGGAGGGGGCATGGTGCTTTACACACATCTCTTCCCAAGGCTGCAAACCAGCAAGGTAGGGCTACAGTAACTTTGTAGCTGAGAAAACTGGGGTCCCGAGTCCCTCGCTGGCTGTGCCAACAGCGGTCAAGCTGGGGTTTCCCCTCGTCCAGCAGCCCCTGCGACACCCCAGGCAGGGCAGACTTTCTGCCTCCTTAACTTCCCCTGGACAGGCGAGTGACCGAGAGGGACGGGGTTCACCCCTCAAGACAGGAGCCCCGTGAGGGCTGAAACCCTCCCTTCCTGGCTCCTCACTAGCGAGCCTGCAGAGCCTGGCTGGTTTTCGGGGGGTTCAGTCCCTGTGTCCCCTCGGAGGAGGGGCCTCTTCACCCGAGTTGGCGCGCGGGACCTCCCCCTCCCGCCGCGCGCTCCCCGGGAGGGCGAAGAGCCCGCCCCGGGAGCTCGCAGGCCGGGAGAACGCGGAGCGAGAGCAGTGACTGCGGCTCGGGGGCCTCGGGCTTCCCGGGGTTGCGTTCTCCCGGGCAGCGGGAGCGGGGGTGGCGTGGGGCGCGCGGGGCGG